GACGCTGCTTCCTGGCCAGGGTGGCCCGTCCTCCTTGGCGTCGGCACCCAAAGCCCCGACGGCGTAAGAGTTGAAGCGGGACATCGCCCCCAGACCTCCTCGGGCCGGTTTTCCGGTCCCCCCATCGCAAAGGCCTTTCTGGGCGCCTGCTCTTCCACGGCGGAGAGGGAGGCAGCCTGCCCGCTCAGCACTGTGCCCACCGCGCCAGCCCTCGGCCGGTAACCAAGCTCTGCAGGGCGGCCGGCAGTCACTGGCGTAGATGCTTCGCCCCCCTCCCCCGGCCGCAGTTTTCATTCCTCCCGTCCCGCGTGGCCAAGGTGAGGAGGGCGGGGGTTGGAGTTAAAGGCCGCTCTCGAGTCCAGCATCGCCTGCACCCGGGGCTAAATCTTGGTTTTGCTTGGGTTACAGAAATCTGCCTATTAAAATTGTCTAAATCACTTTTTAAAAAATAAGTCCTTCCAGGCCAAATGCGTATATGTCAATAACTGAGCAGAGTCTTCAAGAAGTGGTTAGAGAAGGGGAGCAAAGACAGGCGATTGGAAAGTCTCTTTTTTCTTCAGCTGATGATGCAGAAGCAGCAGGCAGGTTGGAAAACAGGGAACCAAGGGCTCTCTGTTTCCCAGCAGGTGGATCCTACTCAGGCTTTTTCAGTTTACTTTGTAAATACCTCAGGGCAGGTATGCAGTTACCCAGGAGGGCTAAGCTTTGACACTGTACATGCTTATTGCACAAGAGGCCGATACAGCAGGACTCACTTCTGAGTAAACATCCTTGCTTCCCATAACAATTTTACACCTGTGTTAGACCAGTGTGGGTGGTGGGGGGATCCAAATCAAAATAGCAAAGGCTCCTGTACCCTCTAGTTGGATGGGGCAGAGGGTCTCATGCTGCCTCATGCAATGCCCTTTTCCCCCACAAGGCACTGATGCTTTTTCCAGAGGCCACTCCCCATCCTCCATGGGGTTCTTTTCACTTTCCCTTGCAGGAAGGTTTCCTTCTAAGCATGCAAGCGGGGCAAGGATCAACCACCCCAGGGAGGTGTCCATGTGTCTGCTAGCTGACCTTGGGAAGATAGCATTGAAGACAACAGAACCCTTGGTTAGTTCTGCCTTTGCCACAGGCCTAGGAATGCAATTCCTGGTACTGTTAGGGACCTGGAGTGCCAACAGACCTCATCACCATGACTCAAATCACCTCTTTCCTTCCAGTCTGCTTCATTTCCCCAAACTCCATGCTGAGCTCAGTGTGATTTGGGGTTGCCTCCTTTTTGTCCCTGTTCAAACATTTTAGTTCCAAGCCATCTGCTCCTTTTGTGGCCCCCTTCTGCGCCTTTCCTACTTGACTAAACTGATGCTCCTGCCGTCCACATTGTTTTCTTGGCCGTCATATAGAAGCGGCTTGGCACTGCATTTCTGGGATGTGTTTGGACTTCCTGATCTAGCTCACAGCCTTTCCTGGTGATTTCCCATCCAAGTCCTAACAGCCCCCATCCCCACACCAGCTCCTCTTAGCTTTGAGGGGGTCAGCCAAGTTTGTGTGTGCTCCAAGAAGGGGTCATCAGAACTGCACCTCAAGTTGCTGGATGGCCCCTTTGCCCCTTCTTGTGCAGGGACTGACCGGGCGCAAAAATCATGGGATGCCTCAGGATGGTCCATTATACAGAGGTAGGTCAACAGTCCATTGACTGCTGGATAGTTTCTCGAACTGGCCACAGCTGCTCAGCACTGGAGGAAGAGAAGGTGCTTCTCCATCGTCTCTCATTTGATCTTTCCCTGCCCTAGCCAGAGATGCCAGGAATCGAACCTCTAGGTGCACAAAATGGATGTTCCCTTACTGGGGGCTGCCATGGGGGAGGGAGGGGGAAAAGAGGCACTCTGTATTCCTCAACTCCTGGCAGGGTCCAAGTCAGGCAGCATGGACATCTTTGGCAGAGCTACTGGAGATGGGAGGACCTTCCAGAAACTGGGAGCAAGTTGCAGGCCTAGCGTAAGGGTGGTCTGTCCGAACAGCAACCCCATTCTGACTGCTACTCATCTGCAGCCAAGGCCAGAACATCTAACACGTAAGCAGATACCCTCAGGTCCTAGGAGAGCCAGAATGCAGACAGTGATTGGAGGAGGAGTTAGCTGGCAAGGAGAAAAATGGACAGGAGGCCAAAAACTTGAACAGGCACCCCACTGAATTGCTGCCAAACCCCTTTGCTTAATTGACTCATACTGGGCTACATCCTGACCATCCATCAACCTCCTTCGCCCCAAATCTGATTTTTAAGAGTGCCAAGAGCAGGGGTGTGCCTGAGTGGGCTTACCTTTGCACCCTTTTGATAGAGGGTCAGGATTGCTTTTCGAAGAGCAAAAGCCTCAGCAGGTTTTGCTCTCTGTGTGGGTTTTCTCCAGACAGATAAGCTTGCTGAAGCCCATCCCTTTCTCAGAAGCCTGTTTCCCATCATAACCCTTATTCTAGTGGTATCAGCTTCCAAGACAAGATTGGAACCCTGGATTTAGGGAAAGAGATAGGCGTGCATGGGCCTTGATTTCTTATCAGCCAGTTTCAACAATCCCACAAGAGCAGATGCAGCCTCTGAACAGGACCCAGCAGTCACCCATATGGCCAAACTGGCTGCTGGATGCATTTTTTTGTACTGACGTTATCAAGTCCTTCAGGCTCTTGTGTATGTACAACTGACTGGTCTTGGCTGTTAGAAAGCCAGTTTCAAAGAAATAACCTGGAATCATTCCAAAACAATCCAAATCCAGGGGCTTGGGAAAGACAGCTTGATTCCAACAAAACCCTAACCTAGTGAGACCGGACGACCTGGTTAGAGGCAAGCAAAGATGCCAGGAAGGTTTGTTCAAATTGGCCAGCCACACAGCCAGTATTCTTACTTTATACAAGGGACTATTTCAGTTCAGTGCCAAAGAACTCACAGAAGTGCAACTCACGTTCCACACTTTTTGTGGGGAAGCATTTCCCTCGCAAGAGAAAGACCTTTGTGTCACAAAAGATACCGAACACTGCTGTATTCCTATGAACAAATTAACACTGATTACATGCCATCAAGTTGATATCGACTCTTAGCAACCACATAGATAGATTTTCTCTGTAACGATCTGCCCCCAACCTGGTCCTTCAGGTCTTCCAACGGTTAACATCCAAGATTCCAGCTTAGAAATAGAAGGCCAAATGGGGCAGACATAGAACTCACTCTCTCTCTCTCTCTCTCTCTCTCTCTCTCTCTCTCTCTCTCTCACACACACACACACACACACACACACACAGTGTCCCAACACTACCTGTGCTTGGTGCTCTCCATTGGCATAGCTGGGGGCTGCCCTTTCCTGCTTCCGCCTCCTGCTGTCTTAGTCCTATGTTGATGGAGAAGCCAACTTTTTCCCCACCCCTGCCTGAGTCTTCTAGGCAACAAAACACCCCCAGCAGAAGGACTGCCTAGTCAGCTGGGTTGGTGAAAGAAAATAATCCAGCTGGTCCAGAGAGACTTTTATTACAGAACAGACCAATTCAGAAGGCATACAGTCAATTAGGACTATGTAAACCAAAACACAATTAAAAATACACAGTCACTTTAACTGTTTCAAAATCCAAGTATAGAGGAACCCTACAGAAACTCATCCCAAACACGCCCCGTTGGCAGATGCTGGTGGAATAACTTCTCACTGGAAAGCTGGCTACACACTAGCTGCTGACAGAACTTAATAAGACGAGCTGGCACAAGCCAGAGACTGCCACACTACAACATCAGAACCCGTTAAATAAGAACGACTTGCGGCCGATGCCTGAAAAAGCACGTCACAATGGAAGGACACGAGCCCAGCGCTCCTGGAGTTTGCAGCGAAGATGATGGCGTTCCTAGATCCCTGCTTGGCTCTGCAGGCGGCAGAGGCACTAAACTGACGGATAAAACCGAAAGGCCTCTGGAAGCTATCGGAAGTTAAAAAACATCTACAGCTTTCAGTGGCGTGACATGGATGCAGATACTGTCCTGCTTCTAAAGGTTCTGCAAAATCAGGTCAGGAGGATTTTCCATCCATGATGCAGTAGCGATACATTAAGCCAAGAACCAATGCTCCCAGGATGGGGATCAGCCAGACAGTCCAGAAGCTAAGGAGCAAGGAATAAAGGAAAGGTGAGCCATGTTTCCATGAGCAGAAAGATTATTCTCAAAGGCTTGCTCTCAGGGCTGTTGACTATCGCGTGCAAGATGGAACGTTGGCGACAGAGGTGAGGAGACACCAAAGCATCTGCACACAATAAAATCTTGTGCTTAGTTATCATAATCAAGTTCTACGAACTGAAATTCAGCGAGGAGGCTGAAATCTCTAACCCAGCTTTCTCTGTTCCTCTTCACAGCTGCAACCGCTGTAATTCTGGAACTATCAGTTTATTAGCCCAAATACATTCTAGGGCAACGTGGTTTCTTCTGCATGGTCCACCCAAACTACGTGGTCACCTGTTGCAGACACCGGCCCTAGTAAGACACAGAATTTCCCACTGCATGGCATAGTATTATGGTGGCCACCATTAAAGATTGCCAAGGAAAATTCTCAAAAATCACCAGAGAAATGTAAAACGCAAGTGTTTACACTTACATTAGACCCAATTGTAAGGGTCTAAGGTAAGTGCCAGCTGCAAGATGTCAGCTATAGGGCTGCTGTGCCGCCTTCTCTTTGCCACCACCAGGAAAACAGATTCCACTAGTTACCGAATGCCTGAAAGCTTTCTGGTCAAGAGAGGAGGACAGGAGAATGCACAGTTCCAGAGGCTTCTTTTAAAGCCAGGCTGTCAAAAGTGAGTGCATTTCTTTACTTTACAATATTGTCAAAATACTGTACCTTGACTCATGGAATACACTTGGGACCTGGGAAGATAAAAGACACATCCTTATGTTAAGCTGATGTTGCTCAGAGAGCCAGAAAACTCTTCCCATCTTTCTCACTTCCCAGGGGAGAAAGGCCCCCCCTTCCTCTTAGGTTCCCTCCCTTGGTCCATTTATTCTATAGGTCACCGTGTTCCACCACTCTTTGCAATAGGCAAAGTGGGCCTCTCCAAAGGAGAATGTTAAAACTTTCCCAGCCCATTCTAGGAACCAGATACCCATCCTGGTCTTTTCCTCCACTTTACTAGCTGGAGTTTGTGCCACTGCGCACCCAACCTTGCATTTAGCAGCAGCTCAGTTCTAAGGGCTTGGCTTTGGTTCAGAAGGCGAAGGGGGTTAATATGCCTTGTCCACGATCGGCTAAAGGAAGTGGTAGTCTAAGCAACAAAGAAAAGTTTCAAAAGACATCTTAGTGCTGTAAGCTGTTAATTGGTCCCTTACCGACCCTCCTGCAAAGCTGTAAATGCAGTGCCTCCTGAGGAGGCCTGTCCAAAACAGCACAGCTGTTCCCAGGCAAAATCTCTCAGCCTGGTGTGAAGAAAAGCTAATTGTCAGCTTACATCTAACTCCATAATGGGATTCAACTTAGCTCTACCGTAATCCTTTGCTTGGCCCATGGCCCACATCCCGGTCTGTCCTACCAGCTCCAAGTAGTTTACAGGAAGATCTGATCCGACCTTCTCCTTACACCCAAAGGCATCGGATGCCGTCAGTTTGACTAGAAGGCAGCAAGTCATCCAAAACCGAGGCTGACATTCTGTGCCATGCCGTTCTCCCCAGGCTGTTGCGAACAAATGGCAAGAGAAGCCGCTGTCCCCCCCCTTGACAGACAGCAAGATGATGCAAAGGCTATCCCAGGGCGGGGATGGTGAAGGAGAGGTTGGAGGAGCAGGCAGAAGCCAAGGGAGATCCTTTCTCAATGCGAGAATTGTTTCACACTGTAAACATCTACAGCAGTCTGGGAAGCTCCTGACTCTGTATGCTGTGGACATCACGGAGAAGAAATTTGTTTGCAGGTTTGTCCTGTGTGATAGATTATACAGTGAATCACGCTTGAGTTATTTGCAGGAAAATGAAAAGGGGCCTTTTTTTTAGCTGTAGAAGTGGGGCTGTGCCAGTCAAAAACAGGAAGTTTTTTCAAAGGAACACAAGAGGGCCTTTGGGGAGAATTTATTTCTTTGGGGTGTTACAACATAAGAGACCTTCAGAACAAATCTCAGGATGGGAGAACAGCAGCTCAGATAACCTTTCTTTTCCAGCCTCTAGAAGTGTGTCTGCAAGGCCCCAATAATGGCTGCTTTTCTGAAAAACTCTATGACTTGGACCAGGAAGTGTAGCTCTGCTCACACCCACCCCAGAAAACACTACAGAAAAAGGCGAAGGAGCCAAGGACAAATCCAGAGTCTGTGTTCAACCTGTAAGTCAAGCAATGCTTTCATTTTAGGAAAAGCTATCAAATACATTGGCAGGAAGAATGGAGCCAGAAGACTAGAGCCTCAAGAAAACACGAGATGTTTCCAGAGAAGAGTAAGTACTGAAATCCGAGCTATGACCTTGGAAAGGACAAAGGACCGATCTGAGCTGAATACCTCTGGATGGGATGGGTGCTATCTGCCTTCAGAAAGGAAGGTGCAGATGACCTTCGCAAGAAAGGCCCCAACCAAGCAAACAGAAACTGACTGCGTCAACAGATAATCCCAGTGCAAGAGCAGAAGGCAATTAAGTAAAAGACACATTTTTGGGTTGCTGTTCATCACAGATAATGGACATGTATAGAAGGGGAGAGAGTGTAAACTAGAAGCCTTAATGAGAAACCCAGGTTTGTATCAAAGTTGGTTTGATAACAGTTTTGATGACAAAAGCATGATGCCTCTCAAAACTGGAACAGAAAGCACTCAGCTCCTTTACAGCTTCCTCTCAATCTGTGTGTGGCTTGCTGTGTGGTGCAAACCTAGCCTATGTTTGTAATTTATGATTCAATATATGGTGCAAAGACAGAAAACAAGTCAATTCAGTAACCAATTTAAGCAAGTTGTGCAAACACACCCACCGTCTGCTCTGTCTCCTGCCTCGTTTCCTTCTCCTGCCTAACAACATTTTTACCCCCTGGGCATGGCACACCGTGGTTGCTCTGAGGTTCGGCACTGCACAGCCATAAACAGTGCTTCAGACACTCTTTCTGGCCACAGGTCTCCCCAAGACAGCTCCCCTAATGAGCCTGGGAGTGACCCAGCACTTGAGGGACCCAACATTTTCAGAAGGTGAGAAATGCAACTTCAGAGCACCTCCGCAGTCAAGTCCAGGCTGGCAAGCCTTCAAATTTCCCAGCAGTCTATACCATCTTTCCCACGTGCAATGAAGCAAAGACACAGCAACATGAGGATTTATGCTGTAGCAGGAGCCAGCCCATATCTGCATACAAAGAGATATTACTGCTCTTCATGCAAGGGCTCCGCTTTATTCTGTGTTGTTGAGACTTCCCCTGTAGCACCATGTTGTGTTTTGAGTGAGGCACTTTAAGTTTCAGAGAAATTGGAACGTGCTTGGAGAAGAACAACAAGCACAATCTGGAAACTGCAAAGCAAGCCCTATAAAGAGAAACTCAAGGACCTCGAGGTAGGTTGTGCCTCAGGAAGGCCAAAGAGGGATATGAAAACAAAACACCTGAACAGGTGTCCACAGAAGAGGACCAAAACCTGTTCTATATCATTTCAGAGGACAGGACACAGAATACTAGATTTAAGTCAAAGGAAAAAAGATTTCAGTTAAACAGTTTTCAGTTAGGAAAACTTTTCTAACAGTGAGAGCAGTTCAAGAGTGGAACCGATGTCCAAGGGATGTTCAAGGAGGTTAGAAAGATGTCTGCTGGGGATGCTTGAGTTCAGATTTCTGCACTAGCTGGAGGAGAGAGCTGGCTTCAAGGGCAAACCTGGGAAAAGTGGGAAGGCCTGCCGTTCAGATGCTGCGCTTATGGGCAGTCCTCCTGGGAAAGGCAGATAAAGCGGAAAGGTGGCAGATTCAGGAGTTGGCTGAAGCCAACATGAGATAACTGCCTCGCTCCCAGAAGCAGGGGCCTGTCCCGCATTCCTGTGAGTTGTTACTGGAAAGAAATGTAAATAGGAGAACTGGACTCTGGGAAGTATGATGTATTTCAGTTTCATTCCTTGTTGGCAGCTTCTAGAAATCCAGAAGGACAGACAAAGCATCTCACGGATGTCCCACAAAGAAAGGAGAACCGCTACCATGCCTTGCTTCCCGTAAAAGGATATGGCTACCTCACAACCTTTTCCAGCTGGCCATTAACAGAACGTCAGCCTAAGTTCTATCCAAATCCCACCTAAAGACCTCCGAGAGATTACCACCTACGGCCATATCAAAGGTAACCTGTAATGCAATTCAGTTCTCCCCTTTTCCAATTAAAACTGCATCATCGTACTGTAAGCCATCTCCACAGGAATGGCAGATGCCCTTTGGATCTCAACAATTAGTCCCATCTGTTTATTTTCCTGTCCTCAATGCAGGAATACTAGTCTCAGGGCTGCTTCCCCAGTTTTAGCGAGAATATTTCTCAAAAAGCCCAAGACAGGCTTCAGCACCACTGAGTCATGTAATCAGCCCTCCTAGTAAATGTCATTGGTTCTTGAGACTCACAGATGTGGCGTTAGCTGAACACGCAGAGAAAGGGAGAAAGCCAACAGGGAGCAAGCAGGTAGGGAGGAGGGGAACATGCAAGAGCAGCCGTTTGTTTAGGCCTGGCAAATGAAGAAAACAAAACACACACAAAAGGCAGGCTTGAGGGGGTTTTCCTCGGATGAGAACAGCCTCCAGAGACCCACAACTGCAGCTGCTGTCTGGGACCCCAAAGCGAAGGCAGGGTTTATTTGGGGAAACTGCTGGCTGTTACAGAAAAGGACAACGGTTGCCCGCTGTAAGGACTGCAAAAAGGGCCAGCGGGACAGCCTTGCAGAATAGGAAGAGGAAAGACAGCCCAACTGGGTCAGCTCATCCCCCAGCCCCCTGTCCACCCACAGAGTAACTGATTCTAGGGAGGTAGCAGAACCTGCAGCGGTGTTTTGACTGTGCCTGGAAGCCTTTTCTCAGAAGTGGGTATCAGAGCACTGTGTTTTATACACACCCCATAGCTCTCCACACAGGTAAAACCCCTCCTTTGGTTCTTTGCTTCTGAAAAAGCAAGCGGAGAACCGGGAAAAGTCTGCAAAGCTTAAGCTGCCAAGCCAGAACGAGCCAGGCATATTTACCCCAATGCCACTGTTCCATTAAACTTCCAGTCTGGGCGGATCTAGCACTGAAACTGCTGCAGCACGTTTTATGTTTGCAGGAATAATACCATCAAAGCTCTGCTTCTCCCCCAGAATCATAAACCACAGAAAGGCCCTCGATTTACAGCCTCCAATATCACTGATGGGGAGGGGCTCTTGTACAAGGCTGTTTTCAGCTCTGGCCTCACCTTAGGCCCCTTGTGAGAAACCCAAGGCCGCCCCCCCTAACTGAAAGTTGATGACACTCTCAGGACAAGTTCAGTGAGCTACAGGCTGGGACATCATGCTCATCCCAAGCCTTTGTTGACACAAGACAGGGAGGGACAGGAAAAAAGAGGACAATTACAAACTGGGCTTCAAGCTAAGCTGCAGAAAGGTTTTATTCCCTTGCTGCAAAGAGCTGAACCCTGCTCATCACAGAGTGGCTGGGGAACCCATAGCACTCTACCCAAAGGGAAGCGGTATCTCAGGTACCCCCCAGCAGAAAGGCTACCCTGCAACACCACTGAATGTACCAGACATGCCACAAGGCCTCCTCCTGCTCCCTCTGCCGCAAGGCAGGGCATTTGTGAGGAACCAGGAAGTCCCGACTCCTCCATCAAATGCCAAGAGCCTTACCCAAGGACCTCTGCCCCAGAAGTTCTTCTCCTATTAAGTCTTCAGCAGCCCTGAAGCTCAAGCAGACCAAGGACCATCTGTCCCTCCCGAAGGCCCACTAAGGCAAGAAGACAAAGCTCTTTCTCCTTGGCGGCCCTCAAGAACGGGTACTCAGAATTCCGCTGCCTCTGGACACAGGGATCCAGTCACGACAGGTTCCTGAGCCCCTGGGCAGTTTTCCTTCCAAGGTAGAAGGCAGACGGGCAGCATCCCTGGCAAGATAG